CTAGCTCTTTGCCAAAGAGTTGGCCGTGCCTCCCAAGGAAGATAAAGGAGAGAATGGTGGAAAGTTAACTGAGAATCGTAGGCAGAGTCACAGCAAATACCTCAGTAGACAGGGGGCAGGAGAGTTGTCTACACTGGAAACCGTGAGAAATCGCCGAGAGAAACTGAAGAGTCACATCGGGTATCTGCTGCTTCAACGCATCAGGCTCTGGAGGCCTCGTCCCACACAGACTGACAGGCCCCGTGCCCCAAGTTTCTAGCGCAGTAGATCTGGGATTGGACCCAAGAATGTGTCTAACAAGTTCACAGATGCTGCTTCTTGGCCGAAAATCACACTTTGAGAACCACGCATCTAAATAAATGAAGCCACGTGCCGTATTCATGGGTTGAGAAAAGATTGTAAAGGCATCAGTTCTCTCCAGTTTGAGGAACTTTTACACAATCCCAATTAAAGTCACATCAGGGCTATGTGTGTGCTTATGTGAATATGGAAATTGATGAGCTGATACTAAAATGTATATGGAAATAAAAAAGGGCTAAGAAAAGCTAAACAGACTTAAAGAAGGAGGACTTTAAGAACTCCAACAAAACTAGAGGACTTTGCCAGATATCAAGATCTGTTAGACACTAGGCACAGTGGCTTATGCTTGCAATACCAGCACTTTGGGAAGCCGAGGCCAGAGGATCGCCTGAGCCCAGAGTTCAAGACCAGCCTGGGCAATATGGTGGGACTTTGTCTCTACAAAAAAAATGCATAAAAATTAGCTGGGCATGGTAGTGTGTGCCAGTAGGTCCCAGCTACTGGGGAGGCTGAGGTGGGAAGATCACTTGAGCTGGGGAGACCTAGGCTGCAGTGAGCTGTGATTATACCACTCCACTCGAGCCTGGGCAACAGGGTGAGACCCAGTCTCCAAAAAATCAGCAAAAGGCATATATGAAACACAAACATTTCATTATGTATATGCAAATATTTCAAAATGTGAAAAAAAATCCAGAACACTTCTTATCCCAAGCATTTCAGATGAGGAGTACTCATCTGTATTATGGAGAAAAAATGTTCAACATCATTAGTTTTCATGGAAATGACATGGAAAAAAATCACAGTGAGATGTAACTGCATTCCTCTCCTTTGGGGCACCAGCGCAACCAGGCCTGTTGAAAGCATCAGTCAGTACAACCACTTCGGAAAGCTGTGTCTGCCCGCCTGAGCAGACACACGTCTTCAGACCCAGCGACTGTGCGTGGGTTTATATCCAACAGGTACATGTGGCTTATCCTCCCTAGCGCCATTCTGCCTGCCCATCTAACCCCCACCGAGGTATCTCCCCTTTTCCTGAGCCGTCCTTCTTTCAGGATTAAGCTGATAAGACCAGGCTAGCTTGAGAAATTTGCATGTGTTCTTGTGTTAATCCCTAAAACAACAGTGTACTATGCCTTCAACTACAGCTTCTGAAATTGTGTAGGCCACAGGCTCTGGTATGGGCCTGGGAGTTACATGCTGTGGGTATGTGGGCGTTTGAATACCTCTCAAATCAGTGTGGAAAGCATCAGTCTACACTGCATGGATCAGCTCTTAATCACTTTTGATAAGACAAAAAATACATTAGCAGGGGCAGGTGGGCACCTGTGGTCCCTGCTACTCAAGAGGCTGAGGCAGAAGAATTGCTTGAGCCCTGGGGGCCGAGATTGCAATGAGTCAAGATCGTGCCACTGTACTCAACAGCCTGGGCAATGGGACTGACAACATCCCCCACCAAAAAACCAAAACAGCCAAAGTACAGCAGAAGCAGCATCCACACTCATAGCATTATAGAGTCAAATCTTCCACAAGGTTTATAAGAGCGTCATCATGCATGTGCCATCCCCATTTCCTACTCAGCTGGAGGCGTCAGCTCTCCACTCAATTTGTTACTTACCTCCACTATTGACATATTGCTATATATCCTTTCCGTATTTTTTCCTGTGGGTACCTATTAAGTATGCATATATCAATCTGAGACAGCTCTGCATCTGTTGTGGTAAAGGCGTGTATATTGCTATATACAGATTGACAGATGAATGCATTCTCTCACATTGGTTTTTCTGTGATCACGGTTTCGGCTTAATTTGCTTGTGTAGTTTCCTGTGTCACCCTCGGGCTTGCTGCGGACTGGTCTACTTGCTGACTGCACAGCTGGCTTCCCGGGGAGCCCCCGTTACTCTGGGATTCCCTGCAGCGTTCTTGTGTGGATGCTCCTGTTACCTGTCTTCTGTCTTCTGTCTGGGTTTACTCCGTGTTGAGAGGAGCAGCTTCCCTTCCTGACTGCCCTCCGGTGGCCTCCTCAGAAAGGCTGGCATGGGAGATCGGAGTGTTAGACCTTGCATGTCTAAGAAACATCTTTATTCAAAAAAACATACCTTTCTTCTTCTGTAACTCTAATTAATAATCAGATTACACATCAGATTCTAGTTCAGAATTTATCAGGGTTTGAGCACTCATTGTCTCCCGGCTTCTAGTGTTGCTGCTGAGAAGTCTGTTGCTGTTTTCTGATTCCTGGACTTTTGTTTGTTTAAATTGTTTGGAAGTTATTTCAAACTTAATGAAGTTGTAAGAATAGCACAGAGAACTCCCACATACCCTTTAATTACATTCACCAATTTTTAAATTTTTTCCACATTTTAACATGCTCCCTTTCTTTCTCTCTCTATATATATCTACGCATACATGCATACTTTTAATTTTTCTGAACCATTTGAATGTAGTTGCTATATAATACTCCCCTCAATAGTGAAGTACATTTTAAAAACAAGGATGGTCTCTTACATAACCACAGGCAGTTGTCAAATTCTGATTTCTGATCCTTTTTTTTGAGACAGAGTCTCACTCTGTCACCCAGGCTGGAGTACAGAGGTGCAATCTCTGCTCACTGCAACCTCCACCTCCCAAGTTCAGGTGATTCTCCTGCCTCAGCCTCCTGAGTAGCTGGGATTAGAGGTGCCCGCCACCACACCCAGCTAATTTTTGTATTTTTAGTAGAGACAGGGTTTCACCATGTTTTCCAGACTAGTCTTAAACTCCTGAGCTCGAGTGATCCACCCGCCTCGCCTCTGATGTCTGGTCTTTGTATGTGACCTGCTTTTTCACTCTGGGAAGCTTTCAAGATCTTTTCTTGGCTCTCAGTATTCTGAAATTTCACAATGATGCATACAGTGGCATGGGTCTGTTTGCTTTTTCTTCATTAGGTTGTACATTCGTGACCTCTTTCAATTTGGAAACGTGCTTCTCTTCAGGGGCATTCCCATGAATTATTTTATTTTGATAATTTCTTCCTCTCATTATCTCTGATTTCTCTTTCTGGAACTCCCATTATGCACACAGTGGCCCTCCCAGATCTATCCTCTAATTTTCTTACCCTTTTTTTTCATAGTTTTCTGATTTCACAACTTTATCTTTTAAGCTTTTATTTGGTTTTTCATTTTTTTCTGCTGTTAATTTTTTTTGTTTGTTTCTAACAGTCTTCTTTTGTCCTATAAAGAAAACAACATGCTGTTTATGGATTCAGAATCTCTTATCTGACAACTGATGATGCAACTTTTTGAAGTTTTTAATAGTTCATTTCCTGTAAGTTGCATTTTTGTCCTTTTGTTTTGATAGTTCTTTCACATAACCGGTTTCCTCAGATGCTCGGTGGTTATTAGCTGTCTGCACATACTCCAGAGTAGGACAGTAAGAAACTGCTGCACAGGTCCACGCTGGGATTCATTGACTGTCATCTTTCCCTGTGACTGATCATGCTGGGGAACCCTTGGGATCAGCTTTTTTTGGCCTTTGGATTCTTCAGGTTCCCCGGAGATGACACGAACAGTCTTCCATCTGGAGGGTGGCCACTTGGCTGCACTGACGGCCACACTGTTAACACGTCCTCGTCTACACTGGTAGCCTACCTTGTTAACATAGCGCTCCACCATCAGTTTTGCTCTGTGGCCCCTCTTCAGGGCTCCTCTGTCACCTTTGAGAGTAAGTGGCTAGTTTGTGCCAGGATGAGCTTATTGCTTCTGAAAGAGACTTTCAAACAGTTGGTCTCTCTTCACCTTGCCCACACTTCCAGAGCCGCTCAGCACCTCCAGGGCCTGAGCTTCTGGGCGGTTCTGCGGGATACAGCAGGTGGGTCACTGGCTTTCCTGGGCCTTCTCACTCTGTCTCCATCGGTCCTGCTGTCTGGCTGCCCTGCTTTTGTTCTGTCATCACTCATCCTGCTATTTTGTGGTTGTGATTTGTGCCTTTAAAAAATCACTTTGTTTTGCCGGGCATGGTGGTGGCTCACGCCTGTAATCCCAGCACTTTGGGAGGCTGAAGCAGGCAGATCACCTGAGGTCAGGGGTTCAAGACCAGCCTGGCCAACATAGTGAAACCCCATCTCTACTAGAAATACAAAAATTAACTGGACATAGTGGTGCATGCCTATAATCCCAGCTACTTGGGAGGGCTGAGGAAGGTGAATGGCTTGAACCTGGGAGGCGGAGGTTGCAGTGAGCCAAGATATGCCACTGCACTCCAGCCTGAGCAACAGAGTCAGACTCCGCCAAAAAAAAAAAAAAAAAAAAAATCCTTTGTTTTAGTAAGGTTTCTGGAGAGAGAAGAGATAAATGTGAGTTCAATCCACTGTCTTTAAGCAGAGGTTTCCTGTGATTATGGAAAAACAAGTGTGCCCGATAGCAGTAGGCTGACAGCAGCTCGCCAGTGCATTCCCCAGGAGGCGCTTTTTGTGACTGACTTGCTAGGAACCCCAAGGTGAGGGCCCGTTATAAAGCTTTGAGGCTCCGAGATTTGCTCTGCTTTCCGAGCGTGATGGGGAGGCACACGCAGGCAGCATGGCAGGGGCGCCCTGCATGACAGGGCACTCAGGACAGTGAGGTCCGCCCACGGCTGTGGACTGATCCTGGCTCTGCCTGGGCTTTTGTCCCTTTAGTGAAGCTCCTGTTTGTTTTCTTCCCCTCCCAATCCCCAAACCTGTTCTCTAGGACGATGAGAGCCTGAAGTACCTCACCCACGAGGAAAAGGATGTCCTTCTGTTTTTTGAGGAAACAATCGACTCCCTGGACGAGCACTTTGAGGAGCCAGTGCTGTGTGATGGGGGAGCATGCTGCCTCTGCTCCCCGTCTCTGGAAGAGAGCACCTCCAGTCCCTCCGAGCCCGAAGATGTCATCGACTTAGTGCTGTCGGCACCTGGCACCAGGGAAGCCGAGGGCCTTCCAGAGGGGGCCCAGGCAGCAGGTGAGGGGAAGCACAGGCCAGGCCTGGGACATGGTTTGCCGGTGTCCGTGGGGCACGGAGATACTTCTTTTCGTGATCCCCTGTGTTTGCCAGTAGAAGCTGTTGAGTCTTCCCAGATTTTTATAGGGGAAAAGCATCCTCGGCAGTTTCATTGTCCAGCAAAGGGAAATGCCAGAGGGACTAGAATAAAGAAGGAAACGAACTGGGCCCTTAAGCGGAGTTTACAGTTTCCTTTTTTTGTTTTTTTTTCTTTTCTTTTTTGAGATGGAATCTCGCTCTTGTTGCCCAGGCTGGAGTGCAGTGGCACTATCTCAGCTCACCTCCGTCTCCCAAGTTCAAACAATTCTCTTGCCTCAGCTTCCTGGCAGTTGGGACTACAAGCGCCTGCCACCACACCCGTTTAAGTTTTGTACTTTTAGTAGACACGGGGTTTCGCCATTTTGGCCAGGCTGGTCTTGAACGCCTGACTTCAGGTGATCCACCCGCCTCAGCCTCCCAAAGGGCTGGGATTACAGGCGCGAGCCACCGTGCCCGGCCCGGAGTTTACATTTTCATACACAATGCACACACGCACAGAAAGAAAGAAAATTAGAAACAGCTTCCAGGTAATTATTTTACAGGCTGGGTGCCATGGATCACTTGAGGCCAGGAGTTCAAGACCAGCCTGACCAACACAGTGAAACACAGTGAAAATTAGCTGGGCCTGGTGGGGCATGGCTGTAGTCCCAGCTGCTCCAGAGGCTGAGGCACGAGAATCGCTTGAACCCACCAGAGGCTGCAGTGAGCCAAGATCGCACCACTGTACTCCAGCCTGGGTGGCAGAGCAAGACCCTGTCTCAAAAAAAGAAAGAGAATCTAGTATCATTGCTGACGTGGCAGGAGGTGGAGCTCGGTAATGGGAGCCATGGGTAGTGACTGTAAATACAAATGACGCTTCACTCACTCACCGCTTACTGTTCCTAACAAGTCACAGACCAGTACCAGGGGTGTTGGGGATCCCTGAACTGGAGGGAAATGGGCAGAGAGAAATATCTTCCAGTTTTTTTCCCTGATTGGAAAGGATACTGGAAACACATGTGGCCAAGGGGTTGGATTGGAAGGGATAAGGAAAAAAGTTATTTTTGCTGTGGTAATGATAAAATACCGTCATTTGTCTTGAGCCACTAGAAATAAAGTGTGTGCACATGCATATGCATATATGTATTTTAAGCAAGGCTATGTATTACACGGAACTTCACATACTGTGGATACGGATTCCACGTAAATACAGAACTTGGTTTGCAGCCATCTCTTCAAAGAAGAGAAGTAATGTGAATTTCCCATTTATATTGTACTTCCGCTTTGAAATCTAGTTCCAAAAGTCATTTAAAGCAGCTGATACTTTTAAAATGTGAGATCACATAGTCATGCCAAGGAAAACACTTTGAAAAATCAGCTACACCTCTCCATCAGTTCTCTAACATGATATTTTCATAACAATTTTTTTTTTTAAACAGAAACTTGCTCTGTCACCCAGGCTGGAGTACAATGGCACAGTCATGGCTCACTGCAGCCTCCAATTGCTGGGCTTAAATGATCCTCCCACCTCAGCCTCCCAAGCAGTCACCATACCTGGCTAATTTTTTATTTTTAATTATTTTTAGAGATGAGGGTCTCACTATGCAGCCCAGGGTAGTCTCGAACTCTGGGGCACAAGTGATCCTCCCACCTCAGCCTCCCAACTTGCTGAGATTGCAGGTGTGAGCCACCACACCTGGCATTTTCATAACAATTTTAAGTGCCCACAGAGTATATATTGTGAGATTCTGAAGATACGAACATAAAAGGATACGAATTTCAGGAATTTTTTTTGTTTTTCTTCTGAGACAAAGCCTCACTCTTGTCACACAGGCTGGAGTGCACTAGTGCCATCTCAGCTCACTGCAACCTCTGCCTCCCAGGTTCAAGTGATTCTTCCACCTTAGCCTCCAGAGTAGCTGGGACTATCGGCATATGCCACCACACCCTGCCAATTTTATTTTTAGTAGAGTCAGGGTTCCACTATGTTGGCCAGGCTGGTCTTGAACTTCCGGCCTCAAGTGATCCACCTGCCTCAGCCTCCCAAAGTGCTGGGATTAGAGGAATGAGCCACCACGTGGCCCAGCTCTATTTTGGGAGACAGGTGCATAAGTAGAGCAGTACCAGGTGATCTGTGATTGGTGCATTCTGTGTCAAGACTCAGGCCTATTACATTTGCCATCATAGAGGAAAGTTACACCGCTTCATGTCCTTCATCGAGAAGGAACGACCTGCTGGTGTCTGTGTATGCCTCACATTCTAGCCTCAGTTTCCCCTCTGTAAACTCCCCTGATGAGCTGGTCACCGCGTGCATCCTGTCCCAGCCTCAGGGGATGGAGCCTCAGCAGCCCGCGTGGAGGGCATGTCTCCTGGGTGCCAACTGTCTGACTTGCAGGGCTATCATGATTTGTCCCTTCTCAACGTGAGGTCATGAGCATAACATACCACCTTCTGTTTCCCTAGTCCAGGGAACCCGGAAAGAGGAGTTCACTCACAGGCGGCACCGGGGAAGTTGGTGTCAGGTCTGGTTGAGGCTCTTTCCAGTTCAGCGAGAGGGAATTTCATGCCTTTACTTAACCTGGGCTAGTAGCTCACAGGCTCTTTCTTCCCTCTCTTCCAGAGCCTGCACCTTCCGGGAAGGAGCACAGGAAACAAGATGCCAAGACTCCTGCACCTCCGGATCCCCCCGCTACAGAGACCCTCCCTCCGGCTCCCGAGACCGTTCCTGCGCCGCCGCCTGTGCCCGGCACCCCCGAACCCCCCAGGAGGGAGCTGCGTGCCCCCTCCCCGCCGGCGGAGCACCCCCGACTCCTGCGCTCCGTTCCCACGCCCCTGGTTATCGCGCAGAAGATTTCTGAGAGGCTGGCGGAGAGTGAAGTCCTCTCACCCACCTCCCCGTCCAGGGAGGGCCGGCCGGGGGAGTGGAGGACGCCAGCCGCCTGGGGGCACCGCAGCGGAGACCCTGACCCGAGGTCCAGCCGCCCGGCACAGCCCAAGGCCCCCCGCTTCCCCAGCAACATCATCGTCACCAATGGTGCGTCCCGGGAGCCCCACAGGACCCTGTCCAAGGCGGCTGTCAGCGTGCAGGAGCGCAGGGCGCAGGTGCTGGCCACCATCCACGGCCACGCCAGCGCCTTCCCTGCCGCGGGGGACACGGGTGAGGGGACCCCAGGGCGCGGCTCCTTCCCAGAGCCGGCAGCGTGTGGCCAGGACGGGACGGGTCCCGCTGAGAGCCTCCGTGCAGGGAGGCGGGCTCCGCAGGGCCCGGTGCTGGCCAACGGCTTCCCGAGCGCGCATGAGGCCCTGAAGAGTGCGCCCGGTACCTTCGCGCCCACCGGGAAGTCCCTCTGCTTCCGCCCCGGCCTGGCCCTTCCCAGCACGCGGGGCCACCAGAGCATCCCCCGGCCCCGGGCACCCGATGGCGGCCCGGACGCGCGGCGCCGCGCTGACTCCCTGCCCCGGCCCCAAGGCGTCACCGTGCAGTTCGTGGGCCGCGGCTCCTCGGAGGAGGCGCGCAGGGAGGCCCTGCGGAAGCTGGGGCTGCTCAGGGAGTCCTCGTGAGGGCTGCGCGGGCCCGGATCCACCCTGTGTCTCCCCACCCCAAAGAGAGGGTGAAAGAGGAGCTGCATCGCATCCAGGAGCTGTTGGGCCTAAAACGGACGTGAGAGCCAGAGCCCCTGCCCTCTGCGGTGCATCCGAGTAGAGAGGGGCCAGGCTGGGGCCTCCTGGCCGAGCGCGCACTGCCGACTCCAGCCACTGGGACAGAGGACTCTTCCCTAAAGGAATCCGGCCGGGGTCTTGTGTCCCTTTTTCCAAGAACTGAGAGAAGAACCTGTTAAACCCATGGGTTTCCGTGACGTGTAAATGCCAGCTTTTGGGGGGTCGGGGAGGAGCAGGACTGGTGTGATTGTCCTTGAGTCTCATCTGCCTTTTTCTCCAAGTACATGACATGAAAGCCAGTTTAGATCCCTTCCTCTCAGGATTCCGCCCGCCTTTTCTAAGAAAATAAAAAAGAAATGCTTTTTCCATTTTGTAATGTCTTAATATATTTGCTTTTGTTTTTGAAGGGTGAGGCATCATGATACTTTGCTTTAGTTTCTCGATGTAATTTAGCTTGCCCAGTTTTGTTTTTTACCGAAAACTGAAATGAAACCTTTTGAGTATGATGTACTATAATTTTGAGTTTGGGGAGCGAAATAGGTGGTAATTTTGAGAAAGCAAGTCTCATCGGACTCCTAGGTCTGGGACGTGTGCATGAGCCTGTGTATATGTTTTTAGACATACACGTGTCAAGATACACATGCATAGGCACCCTGTGTGTCCGCATGCATCATTACTACTTAAACGAACTTCTCAACACCCTCCTAAGTCACTGCAGGACCCCAGCGCTTCCTATCCTTGAGTAGACAGAGCCACCTCAGCATCCTGATAGATAATAATAGAAGAAATCGTTAACTTCCTAGTAGGGAAGTCCGTTAGGACACGTCTCCACGATATTTTGGTGATCCCAAAGTGCTTTTTCCTCAACAAAATGTTCTTCTGTTCCCAATTAAAGTAATATTCCCCGCTTCCAAGTAAGCAAGATTGTTCACTAAACAGTCTTGCTAGGATCATGCCTGTAATCCCAGCACTTTGGGAGGCCACGCAGGCGGATCATGAGGTCAGGAGTTCAAGACCAGCCTGGCCAAGATGCTGAAATCCCATCTCTACTAAAAATGCAAAAATTAGCCGGGCATGGTGGCAGGTGCCTGTAATCCCATCTACTGGGGAGACTGAGGCAGGGACCCAGGAGGCGGAGATTGCAGTGGGCCAAGATCACACCACTGCACTCCAGTCTGGGTGGCAGAGCAAGACTCCGTCTCAAAAAACAAAAGCAGGCAAGGTACGGTGGCTCATGCCTATAATCGCAGCACTTTGGGAGGCCAAGGCGGGTGGATCACCTGAGGTCGGGAGTTCAAGTCCAGCCTGAACAACATGGTGAAACCCTGTCTCTACTAAAAAAATTACAAAATTAGTCGGGCGTGGGGGTGCATGCCTGTAATCCCAGCTACTGAGGAGGCTGAGGCAGGAGAATCGCTTAAACCTCGGAGGCGGAGGTTTCGGTGAGCTGAGATCGTGCCATTGCACTCCAGCCTGGGCAATAAGCGAAACTCCGTCACAAAAACAAAAAAACTAATCTCCTTTATCACTTAATTTTAGTTTTGTGTGTTCCAAGGTAGCCCAGTCAACAGAATGAAGCAGAAGACTCTTAAAGATCTCCCCCGGCTGTCATGTTCCACAAGCAAGATCTCAGTAGGGAAAAACCAGCGAACGAATTTACAAAGCACAAAAAATCTAGTTTCCTCCCAGACCATGTCTTACGCGCCAAGTTATGCCACAAGCGTTATTATCAAAACTATTTAAGGCTGGAGTCTTAGACCTCTAAAAATAGACAGGAAGGGCTGCCCTGAGCAGTTACGCCCTTGTGTTTTTATGTCTCTGCCAGGGCTGTAACAGAGCCTGTTTCTTTCCCGTTGAGTATTACTTAAATTCAGACTTCAATGTGCTGTGAAGGGCATTTTTCATAGTATTCCGTCTGCCTTTTAAGTTATGTAAAGTGCATGATTATACTTTTTTCCTTAGAAATAAAATATGTAGTCTCATCCAGCTCTTATTCTCATAATAATCTCATATTCTTGATGATCTTAAATAGGTGCTTTAATTTTACAACTTTCAAAAGTAGTTACTGTAAATTTTCCTCCTGTTAATGTTGGATGGGTTTAAAGGATTTGTAAGGGCTGTGTTTCCTTTTTCCAAAGCAAGATGCCATACAGTGTTCAATAAGAGAAGGTCTTGATACACCCAGCATTTTAAATACTCTTTTTAAATGAGGACTGCAGCCTTTTCTCTGGCCCTATGATTTCGATGTGAGTAGGGTGAACTGGACTGCTTATCAGTTTGTTTGCTGCCATAATCACATTTTTGGAAAATAAATTTAAGAGTTTTATCTTAAGCTTGTTTTCGCATTGCATGCTATATTCTCAGTTACTTTCTTTTAAATGGTTATACCCTTTCCTTCTATTTATTTATTTCTTGTTTATTCATAGTTATACTGATGGTCACTTCGGTCACTTCTTATGTCTAAAACCCTACTAATTAAAGCCATATGTTTTGTATGAAGTTGAAATTCTAGCCGCTGCTAATCTAACCCGTACGTGAGCATATGTTAGCAAACCCAGTTTGTGAAGGGGCATTCGTTTTCTTGCCATAATTATATGATGTGATTTCTTAAAGGTCATCTGGTTCACTGTGATTAGAAGGACCATACATACCTCAAAGCAAAACTGTAGTGGAAAGATGAGTCCTAAGTGCCCCACTCTTCTCCCCAAGTGACGCTTGTAAATCACCCTGCACTTCAAACTCATCTTAATGCTTAAATCAATAAAAGGAAATGATCCTTTTCTTTTTGAAACGGTCTTATCTCCCTTTCCCAAGAACTGAGAGAGAGAATAACCTTTGCCCCGGCTGGAGTGCAGTGGCTCGATCTTGGCTCACCGCGACCTCCACCTCCAGGATTCAAGTGATTCTCCTGCCTCAGCCTCCTGGGTAGCTGGGATTACAGGCACGTGCCACCATGTCCAGCTAATTTTTGTATTTTTAATAGAGATGGGGTTTCACCATGTTGGCCAGGCTGGTCTCAAACTCCTAACCTCAGATGATCCACCAGCCTCGGCTTCCCAAAGTGCTGGGAGTACAGGCATGAGCCATCGCCCCAGCCATGTCCTTGGCTTTTCAAAAGCTGTGTGCAAATGGCCAAACCAGAGTCCCATCAGCAGATGACAACCCCAAACCCAGGATCGCGGCATCTGCGGAGTCCTCTCCTCCCCTCCCCTTTCTGACACTTGGTCCCTCACATGCATACCCAACTTCACGAAACTGGCAGAAATGTTGATCATTGCTTCTCCCTGCCCGCATTCTCCTATAAGGCTGGTTGAGGAGAGAAGGGGCACGGATCCTGGGATGCTTTCATCAGGAATTTGGAGGATGACTTTTCCATGGTGTTTAATGATAGAGCCCTCGGCTCCACGCATTTCGATGGAACTCAGAGGCCCGTGAGGGCGGCCCCAGGCTCAGGGTTCACAGCCTGTGCTGCCTGCCTGCTCTTCAGACCCTCCTGGGCTGCACAAGCTGACTTCTGACTCTACGATTCCTCACTGAAAATTCCTGGAGCAGCATTCCACGGTAGGATGCCCATTTGAAACCAGCTATTGTGAAGAGCTGGGCAGAGGTGATGGGCACTGTCTTAGAGAAACCTTAGGATTAACTGTTTTATTAAAAAACAAAAAGTTGGAAATACATTCTCTTGACCAGGCATGTGGCTCATGCCTGTAATGCCAGAACTTTGGGAGGCTGAGGTGGGGAGATTCCTTTAGCCCAGGAGTTCGAGGCCAGCCTGAGCAATGTAGTGCATCCCTATCTCTACAAAAATTAAAATAAAAATAACTAGTCCGGCCTGGTGGCATGCACCTGTAGTCCCAGCTACTCAGGAGGCAGGGTGGCAGTATCGCTTGTGTCCGGGAGGTCAAGGTTGCAGTGAGCCTAGCTCTTGCCACTGCACTCCAACCTGGGCAACACACTGAGAGCCTGTCTCAAAAAGAAGAAAGAAATGCATTCTCTTTAAATTTTCACACGTCTTGCTGTGAGGATTCTGACCTGTCAGAGGATTTAGTGGTAATGATTTTTATACAATAGGTGATCTAAGGAATCACTTATTTAATGCTTCATAAAGACAAATGAAGAGAAAGATAAAACTTGACAGTTTACTTTTATCCGAACTCCTGTGCTGTCTTCCCAATGACGACTGGCCTCCGGAAGGCAGCGCTCTGCATGTATCCATTGCTGTGACGTGGCGAGATTAACAGACTTGTTTTCCCCTAAGCTGCTTCCTTGGGTTCTTAAACTTCTGTCATCAAAGAATGGTGAGCTTGGAGCGAGGGCTGGCCTTGTTTTCCTGTGGTCCCGCCAGGGCTGCTGGGGGGAGGAGGAAGGGGAGGAGTCAGGAACGCTCACCTGAACTGGTTTGTGTTTTCCTTGAAATGACAAGTCACCAAACAGGTTTTGTGTCCTCTCCTCACAAGGCTTTCTTCCTTGCTTTTAAGTAAGGGGAACAAGTTCCATCTCCTTTTCTAATCTGCTAGATGGACAAGACCTGCTTTCTTTTTTTGTTTTGTTTTGTTTTGTTTTGTTTTGTTTTGTGTTTGAGACAGAGTCTTGCTCTGTAGTCCAGGCTGGAGTGCAATGGCGTGATCACCGCAACCTCCTCCTCCCAGGTCCCAGTTCAAGCGATTCTCCTGCCTCAGCGTCCTGAGTAGCTGGGACTACAGGCCTGCGCCACCGCGCCCGGCTAATTTTTTCTATTTTTAGTAGAGATGAGATTTCACTATGTTTGACAGGTCAGATTGATCCTGACCTTGTGATCCGCCCACCTTAGCCTCCCAAAGTGCTGGGATTACAGGCGTGAGCCACTGAGACCGGCCCCTCATGCTTTCAAATAGCTGAGGAAAGAGAAGACAGAGCTGCAAACCACTGTGTCCTACGAAATCACGTGCTCTGTCGTTGAATTTGAAGCAGAGGCCTGGCTGGGAACCCAGCTCCACGTGGCCTACCTCCCCCAGGCCTCTGGGGCTTCTCCCTCACCACCAGAATCACCACTTTCTCTCACAGGAAAGCCTTGTTGGGGGATCCAGCCATGCACGGAAGAAAAGGCCGGGGCCCTCCCACCTTCGGCTTTTCACCATGGCAACCGCCCCCCTGGTGTTTGACAGATGAAGGCTTTCTGAAAGGCCTCTTCCAAACAAGACAACGGAACTCTGTCCTCTGCATTCCACATTCACAAGACTTATGAAATGCCCGTCACTCAGCGAAGCAGGCCACATGCTTCCTCCTGGGTACTGTCCTGAGGGGGGCGGGGGAGTCAACCCCCAGGAGCCCAGAAGGGTTTCCTCCAGGCTTGCTCCTTCTGCAGACCGTAGGAACTTCCTATGGAACAAG